TTTGGAGAATCAAAGTTCCATCTGTATTTTCTTATCTCTCTTTAAAAGGCAATATTTTATGTAATTCAAGTATCAGCTTTCCAATCTCTGTCATTTAAATCCATGCCAGCAGATGAAATAATGTTTCAACAACTTTTCCTCCTCATAGTTATTGCTCCATTTTTTCTGGTCGTAAAGATGAAATGAATGCTTGGTACTCCTCAGGATAGAAGCGTTTATACACATTGATCTTCCTCTTTATTTGTTTTGGTGTATCCTGGTAATAGTTCTTCTCATCACGAGCCATAGCCTAGGCAGTAAATTACAAGCATAAATTAACAGAGAAGCAGTTTTCTAGAAAGAAAAAAAAAGTTGCCACACCCAGAAAGTAAGCATTATATTAAACATCCAAGTCTCAGGGACACCCTGTACATAAAGCAAATGCAAATATAACTACAGAACTCAGGTTTTTTTTTTTTTTAAAGGTAGATTCAGATGCTGGATGCAATTTAACCAGTTGCTCCACAGATATTTTGAATTCTGCTTGCAGCAAAGGATTGTAAGCACTCCAGTATAAACTACCTGAAGGGCCCTAGATTGCTTATTTCAGTTCAAATGTCCATTGCAGAACAATCATATATGTTGTCAAGCAAGAAACACCGCACAAAGCAATATGGGAAAAGAGAGGAAACAAATCCTTTTCTAAAGTTGCCTATATAATGCATAATGTATCAATAATCCTATAAATCAATGCATCATGAAAATCATTCATATTAAAACCCATGCCAAGATTTGAATAAAAATTTGGGAAAAATAAAGATCCACCATGCAACCCAGAAGACTTTCTCTGGAGAAACTCTCTGGAGAAAATGTAAGTACTGAAAAGATCTTCTGTTTTAAATATGTACTTGCCTGCGAGAGGAGATCTTACCCAGCCAAGCTGTTTCAAAGATTAAAACTCAATTAGAATTGGCCTTGGAATAACTGGAAACCGGTGCAGAAGGCAAACCGATTGGCATGACATAGTAATAACAGCCAGTCCTCCCCACTTTCAAAATCTAAGCTATTGTAATTGGGAATATCTAATCTGATTTTCATATAATTTTCTAATTATGTATTGCAATTATCTAAATAAAATAATACTAGTTGGAAATAATTACCAAATTATCTCTGGTCAAAAGAATGAGGGTATCTACCTTATAATTTTCACCATGATTCTGAATCATGTGTTTGACGTAGTCGATAAGATCTCTGGAGAGGGTCTCAGATTTTAACTCTGGGAAGCTGGCTTCATATTCCAATTCTGGGCAAGAAAAGAAAAGAAAGCAATAAGGTATTAAGAAATGTTTGCACACTGCGGAACCTCCTTTTGTGGAAATAGAATAGCTCTACTCAACCATTACATCATGGAAGTCATATCCCTTTCCTCCAATAGGAGACATGCCCAGGCTTGCTTGGAAAAGATATGCATTATTTTCATATCAGCAGACACAATGCCTTTCTTCTCTCACCCTAATTTCTAATGATTTATCCAGCCGATTGTAAAACACAGTTTGTATTCAAAATCACAAAAAAGTTTGAATATCTATTTATTGGCAATAAATGAAGAAAACTGCACTTAATTGGAATAGCAAGAATTCTAATGAAGGATTTTCCTATGAAGAATGACATGTGTGTCAAACTATGCCAATATGAAGTAATACCCAGCAGTGGTGGGATTCAAATATTTTTACCTCCGATTCGGTGGGCGTGGCTTGGTGGGCACGCTTTGCGTGCGTGCGTACACACACTTTGCGCGCATGCATCAAACGTGCACTTTGCACAGGCGCAGAGGTGTTCTAACTCACCCGCAAGCCTGAACTCTCCCGGTCGCTTCAGCAGCTGCCACGCAAAGCAGCTGCACTTCAAATTCAGAGGATATGGGAGCCTGGGAGGGTGGGCCCAACAGCAGAGCCAGCAGAGAGGTATGGTCTCCGCTGCTCATCGCCGCTACCGGCTCGGCAGAATTGGGCAGAACCAGTAGAATACCATCACTGATACCCACCATTTATTACATACGGCTTTCTAACAGTTGTTGTCCCTGCCTCTTGTCCAAGTTCCATTTTTGTATCCTGTAATTAAAAAGACATGACAACTCATATTTTACAAAAAAGCAGGAATTATTTTGTATTTCCTTTTTACTGCATTATTATCATTTTATAACAATTGTTAACTCATTTTAAACATTTAAAAGGATTGATATCTTTCTTTTGCTGTCTAATTGGATGCAGCGTTACATCACACCGTTTCAAATTATTATACAATACAAATGGTGATAGCTATTTTATAAGTCTAACCAGAATGATTGAGGGACTGGAGACTAAAACCTATGAAGAACGGTTACAGGAACTGGGCTTGGCTTGTCTAGTGAAGAGAAGGACCAGGGGAGACATGATAGCAGTCTTCCACTATTTGAGGGGCTGCCACAGAGACGAAGGGGTCAAGCTATTTTCTAAAGCGCCTGTAGGCCAGACAAGGAATAATGGATGGAAACTGAACAAGGAGAGATTTAACCTGGAAATAAGGAGAAACTTTCTGACAGTGAGAACAATCAACCAATGGAACAGCTTGCCCTGAGAAGTTGTCATCACTTGAGACTTTCAAGAAGAGATTGGACTGCTATTTGTCAGAAATGGTGTAGGGTCTCCCGCTTGGGCGGCGGCGGGGGGTTGGACTAGATTACCTACAAGGTCCCTTCCAACTCTGATTGTCTGTTATCTGTTAAGTCTCTAGCACTTTATTTCTCAGCATAGCGATGGATGTTAGCACCGGGGGCACTAAATGAATAAGACGGTGATTTTCACTTGCTTAAATGAAATGCCAAAAATTGCAAATAGCTCTTCAACTATTTCAATTTCCTAAAAAGTGAGATAGTCAGACAAAAGAAGAATTTATCTCTAAACCAAAAACTGGGTTAATGTCAGTTTAGTTACAATGTTACTTCTCATGCACACTTTGTATTTAACCAATACCATCTGAGATTAACTGAAAAAATTCTAGACATACAAACATTGTCATGATGTACTTTTCTAACCAGTTATGCTATTTTCATTTCCCAATTATTGTCTACCTGGAACAACATCCAAATATATAATGCAAGCTCCTAAACTATAAACCTTGCATTATAGTTATTCAACTTCCAAGTGATTATCAGTTCTTGAAATTCATACAGCACTAACCTTAGGAATGGGAATTGCCTTGTTTGGATCAACAGCCAAGCCCATTTCTGCCAAATTCTTAGAAACTGATTTGGTGCTATCCCAGGCATGTCGGATTTGAGCACTGAAGAGAAATTGGAGGGAGGGGAATAAAGCAGGGCATCAATGCTATGCAATCTTGAAGAGATTCCTCCCTTTTCAATAATAATGACCACACTTTTGCAATCAAGACAGATTTTGCACCAACAAATGGCAGCCCTCTCCCTCAATTCAAGGACACAGAACAGTGGGATGCTGATTAGAGACTGAAAACCTCAAATCTATATGTGCCCTGGTCTTTCCACAATTGTAAAAGTACAAGAACACTTTAAATGACAATTTGTTGGTATTTCATTATATATGAAATTGGCTGCCTATGGCAGCTATCTCAACTCTGTCTCATGATAGGATTGATCCTGTATAGTGCCTAAAAAAATCTATGTATTTTAACATACCTGTCTAAAGATATTCCAAGCATCATTAAGAGGCAGTCTTTAGCATAATTTGGGTTCACTTCATTACTTTTTTTAAACTTATCCATCTTCTTGAATATTTTACCTTTTTCATACATGAAAAGGAGTTGTTATAGCAATGGTAAAGAAGCGCTCTCCATAACTTGAGCCATTTTCATTCTATATGTTTTTTTTAATCAAATCTAACTCTGGCATTTTTCATGTTATTCCTCATTTTACCAATTCTTCATTTTAATTATTGTTTGCCCCCAAGCCCTGTGTGCACCAGTAGTTTTCCAGGGGGAATTAACATGGAACAGAAATTATAGATAACTAAAAGAATACGGGAAAAGTTGAACCAATATCCTGCATTCCATGGTTGCAATCTCAGTGCGGAAGTAGAAGTAGTCCTCAACTTATGATCACAATTGAGCGCAAAATATGATTTTATGTGAAAAATTTGTTAAGTGAGTTTTACCCCATTTTACTTTTCTTGCCACAATTTTAAATGAATCACTACGGCTGTTAAATTAGTAACCTGGTTGTTAAGTGAATCTGGCTTCCTCATTGACTTTGCTTGTCAGGTCACAAAAGGCAATCACATGACTCCGGGATGCTGCAACCGTCATAAATATAAGTCAGTTGTCAAGCATCCTAACGTAAATCATGTGACCATGGGGATGCTACAATGGTTGTAAGTATGAAAAGTGGTCATAAGTCTGTTTTCAATGATGTTGTAACTTTAAATGGTCACTTAATGAACTGTTGTAAGCCGAGGACTACTTGTAGTTGAATAGGAGATGTTACCTATTAAAATGGGAGCAAATGCAGGGATAAAGGAGCAGCTACTTAAAAAGTGTACAATTGAAGGAAAAGGAAAGGAAAGGTGAGACAACAGGGATGTAGGACTTACAATTTTAATTTTAGAATGAGGACACATGGTTTATGTCAGTGGTGGCTAACCTTTTTGGGCTCCTGTGCCAAAAACTGTGAGTGTGCCAGCACATCTGAACTTGCGTGCCAGCACCCAGAATGCAATGCAGGCCCCCTTCCCCACACCCCCTGCGCATGCGCATGCAATCCCCCCCCTCTTACTTGCACTGTACCTCACAGCTTATTTTTCAGCTGGTTTCAGACCTTTTTCGGCCTCCCAGAGGCTTGGAAAAAGCCTCTGCAAGGCTGTTCAGGTCAAATTGTAGGCCCGTTTCGTCATTTCCGGTATTGAGGAAGTGACGAAACGGACCTATAATTCGGCCTGAGAAGCCTTGTAGAGGCTTTTTCCAAGCCTCTGGGAGGCCGAAAAAGACCTCAAACCAACCCCCCCCAAAAAATCAGCTGTGAGGCGCGCGCATGTGCAGTGAGGTGAGTTTGCCTGCAGCACACGTGCCAGCACAAATGGCTCTGCGTACCACTTGTGGCATGTGTGCCATAGGTTCGCCATCACGGGTTTGTTGTTGCAGTTTTTATAATGCATTGTTTTCCTGCTCTTAGCCACGCCAAACTTCCCAGATCCCTTTTAGCTGACAACATAATATCCAAATAAAGAAATACACACACTGAGCTGCTTTTGGAACTGAACCCACGTTGGCAGGTTTTGAATAGGATATAGCCAAACACCATTTTTTAATTATTATTCTTTCAATACTTAGGTAAAACAGAAGTGGCACTGCTATTACTGTAGAGCAGGGGTCCCCAAACTTGGCAACTTTAAGACTTGTGGACTTCAACTCCCAGAATTCTCCAGCCAGCTTTGGGAGAAGTCTGGGAGTTGAAGTCCACAAGTCTTAAAGTTGCCAAGTTTGGAGACCTCTGCTGTAGAGAAAGCGGGATTCGACGGCCTTCGGGAGCGACGCTCAAGCTGGGCAGACGAACTACGACCCAGCCTTCCGCATTTTAAGCCTAACTAGCGTGTTAAATGAGCCCAGACCTTTACGGTTGGTTCCAGGTGTATCGCAAACGCGGAAAACCGGCGGGATAAATGCAAAGGAACTCAAGTCTGGGCAAGCACGTCGTGCAAAGGCAGCCCAGGGGAACCTGGCGCTTTTCAGACATCTCAAATGACCGAAGATAGGGACGAGCCCCACCCCACCCCCCACCCCATCTAGCCCAAATCATGACTGGACAGCTTTCTTTCCCTTAACTCACCATTTTATTTTAGGCGCCGACCGTTTGCGGAAAGCCCGGTTGAGTTTTTTGCGGTCGACGTTATAATTATACTTCTTCCGACGCTGCTTCTGCTTGGCTTTCGGCATCGCGGCGGCTCTCGAGACCCGAACTTGGAAAAAGAGCCACGCGCTTCCCCCGCTTCAAGCCCCTACGGTTGCAAGCCAAAGCATCCGTCGGGCCAATGATCGCAATGGCGGATGGGAGTGGTAGTTCTGGCGGTTCGGTCAGCGTAGCCGAGACGCGTTTTCATTGAACTACATTTCCCAGAGAGAGAGAGCGCGGGAGGAGTGGGGGGGGGGTGGAATCATGTGAGGCGCTCGGCGCCTCCTTTAGCGACAGCGGAAGAGCTGAACCACGTTAAAGCGAATTCGGAGGTGACCTTCGTGCGTTGGAAACTGGCGAGATTTGTTATGGCTGGGAGTCCTCCGCCGTCGTTTGATCCCTACCGACCCCCCGTTATTGAAGGCTTTACTCCGACTTCTCGGGGAAGTGGCGAACGCTTCCAAAGCAAATTCGTGCGCAAGTTCCGCGAGAACCCATTTGTGCCCATCGGTGAGCCTGGGCGAATATTCCTAGTCTGGACGAATAATAGCAAGCGAATTGGTCGGGGGTTCGCAGAGCGCGGCTTTGGGGGGGAAAGCAGTGCGGTTATACTATTTCAATATTGCATTATTTCTTTCAAATATTTTCATTCTGCCTGTCCATTCCCGCCTTCTAGACAGTGTTGAATAGTGAAAACAAAAGATTGATGTGAAATAAACAGCCGGAAAAACCTAGCAATCAAACATACCTAAAAAGCGAAAAACAGTAAAAAGGATTTTATATTAACGCCCATCCTAAGAAGGAACAAAAAAAAAAAAAAAAAGATTATTCCGGACAATAGCTCCGAAGTCAGCCAGCCATCAGAAATATCTTTTTGCTGGTCTCAATCAAAAGGTCCTAAGAGCTTCCTAAGAAAATAAAACCTGCTTTTTCTTATTTAGCTCAATGCTTTACAAACTTGGCAACCCTAAGATGAGTGGAGTTCTACTCCCAGAATTCCCCAGCCAGTTCTGAGAGTTGAAGTCCACACATCTTCCAAATTGCCAAATATGATAGATTTTGTTGTATCAAACAGCATAAATTATTTTGAGAAAGGGAAAGTAAGCATGGCTTAAAGCATAACTACCAGTCCCTGAGACTGATCAGGAAAATACTAACATTTTTTTAAAAAAATCAGTGTTTATCCTTAACAGAAACATGAGCCATAAAAGTGATATAAATTACTATAAGTTTTTCCTGGTGTGAGGGAATGGAAAAGAATGCCCTACCTAAATACTTGTGTTTAGATTTTTTGCTAACCTTTTTAATATGTGAGAATTGAAGGTCAATGAACCAAAGTTTCTTGACAGAACTGGGAACTCTCAATGAAAAGATGGATGGTATATTCAGGAGATAGCCCAAGTCTGTAACAGAATTTCTATCTTTTGTTTCCTTTACTGCTCTCTCCTCCAGGCTGCCTTGGTACTGCTGGAATTTTGACTTATGGACTCATTTGCTTCATAAATAATAAACCCAAGCAATCCCAGATGATGATGAGGGCCCGTGTTATAGCCCAGGGCTTAACTATTGCATCCCTATTAGTGGGCATGGCTGTTACAAACCTGAAGTCATCCAAGTGAACAAGATGCTGCTGTACAATAATATGAAAGTTGTCCACTAATCAGGGTAAGAACAAGCCCGCTTGCCTGCCACCACACCACATTTTACAGAATGATATTTCACTGCTACACAGGAAGTGACTTTTCTGGTACCAAGGAGGCCCAATTTTGTTAAATAACATTGTTAATATATCCCATGAATACAAATTTGCCTGATGTATAACATTGTGTATCATTGCCATGTTTTAAGACTGTCTTTCTGATAAAGCCAGTAAGATTATCTGATGTAAATAAAACAGATTGTATGGAGGGCCTTTATTATCTATTAGACAGTTATGTGGTTAAAAGTGCATCAAAATAACACATTTATTATGGAGATTGGGTGTAATGAACCACATTAAGTTTGTGTTTAAAAATCATAAAGTTTCTATTCTTGGTGTATTTTTTCTGAAATGTTTGTCATTGTCAAGGGTGGACAGAAGTCAGGAGGAATCTAACTGTGATGTATTAAAAACCATTGTCTTAAGACCTACTGAGTTAGCCTGAAACAATTGTTACTTGATAAGGTACTTGTAATCTGCCTCACATACAACTTCTGTAAAACTGCAGATAACTAGAGTAAGACCTTTTAGCTGAAGCATTGATCAGTGGGTTTGTTGATGTAGCAGCCTTCATGCTGTATAGTAACATCTGGCCTAAATTACTGGATTCCTTTGGTGGATTGGGATGGAGTCTCCAAGGCTCCTAATCTTTGGTGATTTCGGCCTTTCCCCAGGTAGCATTAAATCATGGGCACCTTAGAATTCGTGGCAAATGCCAAGCTGACTTGTCATCAAGATCCTGATGTACTTTTTGTTTCAGGGAAATTACTACCTGATCTGAGAGTTGTAGACATTATCATCAGTCTATTACTGGGGATACATGCTCTGATTGCTTTACATTTTGCACCCCTTGCAAAATGGGAAGTGGAATCTGTTAGACTACTAGACCATCCAAGGCAACCAATAAACCCTGACAAGTTGTAGAGGGAGGTTGTTTTTGTTTTATTATGGATTTGATCAATAATTTGGCTGATAATTTTCTGCCTGGCTGAAATGGACATGTAGCAAAGGCCTTAGAACAGTTTACACCAGTGCAGCCTCTCGCTGTGGATGAATCCTGAGGTGATCCTTTGATTTTCCAGGGCACTTAGGAGATAAAATGCCAGAAGAGCCACCTAGAGCACTACAAGAAGAGCACTACAGAAGAGCCACCTAGAGCCAACACAAGTTAGAGCACTCTTCCTCTCCTTTTTAACATCTGCTTGAGAACATTGGGTGAGATCATGAATTGGTTTGGGGTCAGATGCCATTGGTTTGGTCATAATACTTAGTTGTTTATCTCAACCCAAGGTTGGCAGAGGTCAAAGTCCTGTACCTATACTTGGAGGTTATCAGGTTGTGTCTGTGTGGAGGAAGAGACTCATTCAACTGTAACAAGCCAAGCGGCTATGTGTGCTGGAACTGGGGATATGTTCCATCTTTAGGCCCAAATGGGAATCCATTTACTCCTGTTGCACTGTTTGGGGATCTTCTTGGACTCACAGCTCCAGCTCAAGCAGGTGACAGCTATGGCCAAGAAGGCCTTTGCAGAAATCCATATAGTGCTGTGATTGCACCATTTCCTGGGCCTAACGAGCATTCGTGCTTATTTCTAACAAGCACTCATGCTTATTCACTTCTTATGGATTATCGTAGTGTGCACTACATGGGGCTGTCCTTGAAGACCATCAAAATATTCCACTGATCCAGAATATAGCAGCAACTTAAGCAATTACGGGCATGCCCATGCAACACCTCTGCTTTTTGAATTGTACTAGTAACTGGGAGGCTTCCAAGTAAATTCACTGCCCTGGTTATTACATAAATGCATCTCATGATATAGAGACTTTTCTGTAGCTTCTGCCCATGCTTTATGATTAAACAAATTTGTCATATTCCTAGCCATTAAACAGTATCATTAGATGGGACTTATAAAGCATGCCTTCTTGGTCACAATGCCTGCTCTTTGCCTGCATGATGACCTTGTTAAAAAAATATTTTAAAAGCTGGCTTTTCACTTAGGTCTTGGATTGGAATGATACAGGCCTTTGAGTGTTATATGGTTCCTTTAAAATTTGTGGGGGGTTTCTATATGTCTATTTTTTTGTATTCTTTAATTGTTTTACTATTATGTGTTCCCCAGAGTCACAACAGCCTTATAAATTAGTAAGTAAACTGGCCTATTGTCCCCTCTCTCCACCCTACTTCATTCCAATTTAAATCTTGTTTTTGAATACCCATTTCAAGCATATGAAGAACTGAGTTGTATTTCATAAAAGTTTATACCTTTTAATAAAATTTGCTAGTCTGAAAAGGTGTGACCAGATTCCTGATTGTTGGCTATTGTGTAGCTCTCTTACAGTATTAAGGGTAGGAAAAATTCCCTCTCCTTTCCAGTCTGTTCATTTTTGAATTTGCTAGATTGCAACAGAATTGTTAACTTGGTCTTGCTAACTAATAACATCTTCCATGTAGCTGTTCTAACAATTTATACTTTTTAAAAAGTTTCTAGCAATGCCTTGTGCATTCAAACTGCTAAATTACAAAGGAGCATAGGGAAAAATTACCATTCAACAATAGGTATGTATATTTTTAGATATAATCTCATGCTAATATATCTGAATGTAAATCACACTCAGTAGGATTTATTTTTAAATATCTTTACAGGTACTTAATCTTTAAATTTTAAATAGGATTTAACCTGCTTGGTCATACCTATTGTGCTTGACAAAGTACATGTTGAAATATATTTTGATAAGAGCCAGACATCCTAAAGTACAAAATGTAGGTTTACGAGAGAAATTAAAAGAAAACTTGTGACTAGCAGAAAGTAAATGGAATGGATAAACAAAAAAATATAAAAAGATGGTAAAATAGTAATAAGAGAATGTGGAAAGGTTCCAGTAGAAAATACTGTATGTAGCTCAGGGTTGAACTATGGCAGGGGTGTCAAACTCCCGGCCTGTGGGCCGGATGCATCATGTGCTGGCCCTGCCCCCACCTGGTTTAGCAAAGGGGGAAAAAGTCCTGATATGTCACGTAATGCTGCTGTGAGGACACAAGTTTGACACCCCCGAACTATGGAGTCCTTGGTATGCTCTGAGCTTGGTTGTTTGCTTGCAGACATTTCATTACTTGACTAGGTAACATAATAATGTACCAAGGACTCCACAATGGGGAAATGTCATAATCTCCTATTCTATTTCACTCTCCCCAAAGGGTTTCTAGGTTCAAATTAATGTAACTAAAGCAAGTGACTCAAGGAAGTGGTAACTTAGTTAGACTAGTACTATAAGCAAAGTTATGTGTCCAGGAGAAGCTTAATTCCAGCCAAGGCTCTTGGAGGAGCTTGCATATATTTCAGTGTCTTTTATTAAAAAATTAATGAAGAATAGATGTAATGCCAGAAGTTTAGAGAACAGCAAAACTACAAAAAGAGGACCATGGTAATGACCAATCATTTGTCTTGGTATCCATACTGGGAAAATAATTTGGGAACATTTAAAAAATAATGCACTGGTCTCCTGCAGGGTTTAGCAAGTAGAGTTAACCCAAAGACATTTGATATGCTTTTACAGGAATGACCAGCTTAGCTGTCCATTGCACTATAGTCATAGTGTACCTTGACTTTAGCAAAAAGTTCAGTGAAGTATCTCAGGAGATTCTGAGAGAGAAGATGGTGGAATATAGGCTGGGATATGCTACTCCTAGAACAATGATGGCTAATCTTTTGGGGCTCCTGTGCTGAAAATGGTGTGCATGCTTGTGCGCACATGTTTGCGTGCCACCACCCAGAAGGCATTGCGTGCAGGGGGGCCCCACTGCACATGCGCACGCAATTCCTCTTGCCCCCTTATCTGCACTGTACATGCACATGCCTCCCAGCTGATTTTCGGCCCGTTTGAGGCCTTTTTCGGCCTCCCAGAGGCTTGAGGAAAGCCTCTGCAGCCTTTGGAGGCCAAAAATTGGGCCTGTTTCATCACTTCCGGTATTTCAGCTGGGAGGCGCGCGCATGCGTAGTGCAGGTAAGTTTGGCTGGGGCTTGCATGCCCGCACAAATGGCTCTGCGTGTCACCTGTGGCACACGTGCCATAGGTTTGCCATCACGGTCCTAGAAGAAAGAATTGAACAAGTTTGTACCAAGCTAGAAAGAATAGTCAAGTAATATGCCTCAGGGCCCTGTTCAGCACCTCGTGCTATTCACATATTTATAAATGGCTTGGACAGAGTTCAAATCATCAAATGTGAAAAAAAAACCCACCATAAACTGAAGAAGCAGCAAATACTTTAGGTAGAAACAAGTGAGACGTATTTTAATAAATGCAAAATTCTACATAGTAAGGGTTCTTGTTCGAAAGCATGGGCATTCTTGTATTGTAGGAATTGAGAGCTTCAAGAAAACTTATATTGGCTGAATTTATGTGTCACGTTAAGCCATGGTTTATTGACTAAATTACAATGGCTGGCCTAGCAACATCAAACCTTGGGTTACTGAATAAAGCTACAGCTGAATTACCCAATGCATTCAAGTTACTACGTTTTAAAGCTGTGCTTACCCAACACTGTAAGCCAAAACCTAACAAAGGGCATTATGCTTTATGTCACTAAAAAGAATCCAGGCATTTTGTGGTAATTATCTTGCTGGCAGCCTACGTTGGGTGAAATAATGAGGTTGATGCATAATCATAGGTGTTGTGCATAATTCTCGGGGGGGGGATCCTCTTTAACTATTTCCTTGCATGGTAGATCAATTTTAGTAACAGTTTATATCTGATAATTATTACTCAAATGTGTTAAACGGAGGAGAAAAGTTTAGTCCGATTGTCACAGCAGATCACTTTTCTCTACTGTGCCTATGGATGAATTCTTACAGCCAGTTCATAAAAGCTTCTGCCCCCAAAACAGCTTGAAACTACTGTATGCACTTTCCACGTGCTGGTTTAAAACAATGCAGAAGTATGATAGTAGGCAGAATAGAGCAGATATCCAGTATGGTTCTGAAATCAAGCAGTAGTGTCATATGAATTACACGGCTAGACTAGATTACATTTCCAGGGAGGTAACAGCATTGGGAAGATTGACTGATTGGTGTCTATAATGACTTTACATTCTTTGGTAGTTCTTGTAATTAGAGTTCAGTATTTTATATTGCATGAACTTAGCTCTCATTGAGTCACACAATATCTACTAGCAGCCTTTATTGGGCAATTACTACACTGAAGTAACTTGTAATCTACGCTGGACTGGATGGTGGCTTTTTATTACCTTGGAAAGCTGTGAGCACCATTGAAGCAAAGTCTTATAATACCGGTATATACATATAGTAAGATGTTAAAACTCTTCCCGTTCAACTTAATACAGTTTACAGCTACAATATATGCCCCTTCAGAAGGTTATGGCTCTATATAGGGGTGTGGTTTGATCCACATACTAATGAACAGGCAACTGTGTAAACTATAGCTTATTATATTGAAAAAATGATTTATGCAAATACTAAGAGAAGAAAAAGCTATGACACTGATCTTGTTGCCTGTTTAGACATGAACCATGAATGTTTGAAAATTTAAGTCAAATAGCTCCTACTCTAGGAGGTACTGGATTCCTTGCTTCCTTTCTGGTAATATTTGCTTTATAATGACACTATTTTGCAGAAGCTGTTCTGCATCTTGGCTTTCTTATTAGCACCTTATTATTATGCAGGAAATTGTGCTACTAACTATAAGGTAGAAGTAGCTTATAGGATTTGAAGCACAGCAGCCACATTCTTTTAAAATCTTGTCACAATGCCTGTGTTTTTAAGGATTTATTTAAATGCTGGATGTGGCAATATTTAGCCAAACTTGGATGACCTCGGAAACCTAAGCAACTAATCTGGATTGTACTTGGATGCACAAATCATCCCAATCTAGACTAGGAAATTGAAAGGCATCCCAGAAAATGGCAACGGCAAAATTTTTGTACTACTGCCAAGAAAACTATATAGGCATATCTGCATAGTTCATAAGAAGTTAAAGGGATCTTTCTTTTTATATGCACAGAACTCTTTACCCAAAGACTAGCCAATTATGTACATAAATTATGCACAGGGAAACTTTTAACTATTTGAGTGATGGCTATTAAATTTATTAAAATTTAAAATTTGCATAAATTTGCATCATTTGTGTAATTTTACATAATTATGGAAGGAATTGTAAAATATCCTGATTTTTTAAATTCTGACTAGTGTGAGGATTGGTTTGCAGGGTTTAGAAAACTACAAGCCTTTATGTCAGGAGATCTCGATGTATCTTCTTTGAAAATTTAAGAAATCATTTAGTTGGGTTCTCATACATACATGCCTTTAAAATATTTTGAATTTCTTCAAAATACTTTGCAGGAAACACAAAATATTAAGATTTCTTCATACATGAATCCTGATGATGGTCTTTATGTAAAAAAAAATGAAAAATGCATTTTGATACTTTTTCAGTTTAAGAAATGTAAAAAGCAAGTATTCTGTGGTTTTACTCTGATTCTAGAAGCAGCTGTTGGTTTAGCAATCCCACAGAAAATTGGGAGATGAGTTTTAATTTTTCTCAAGCTGAAATGGCCAGACTTTGATTGCTACTAGGGGCACTTGGCCGCCTTCTTGGAGTATAAATTTCTCAGTAGTCAATGATAGGACATTATCCTTAGAACTGTAATTGCCCCTTCATTTCTTTTTTGTAGCCTTGCCATCTTTGCCACATACACCCGAGTGAGGAGTCTTTGGCTTCTGATAAAATGATATTCAGTAAACAACTCTCAAAAGAAAGTTTGTGAAAATATTCAAATTTTCTCTATATTTCTTCTCTTTCCTCCTGTGTTTCAGTATGTTTTAAGATTCCTATGAAATTTTCATTTCAAATAACATCTTGGACCCACAGGATGCAAGCCAAGGACATGCAAGAGAAAGGTTTGTTAAAGCCTTAAAAGAAGTAACCTCTGATGGTACTACCACCAAATGATATGCCCCCCCCCCCCAATCCTTTTGGGAAACAATTCTCAGGTATTCAAAGGATGGTTTCTAGTATAGCACTTTCTGGTATAATATAACCCACCTATGAAAAATACTGAAGTTATCAGATTAGAGAAAATACTGGAAAAAGATGTCTTCCCTGGACTAATAACTTCAATGTGTTGTGGCTCTTGAAAATGTTTTACTATGCAAAAATCACATATTGAATTTACCCCATTAGGACATTTTACAAGTCTAAACCTATGCTAAGTTATGTAGTGAACGCAACCTGTATATGCTGTATTTTCATGAATGCCTGTATTTCAGCCCTGCTACACAACAGCTAAGATGAAGTAATATGCCCAGTCTTTCTTTCTACAGCCACATTTTCAAAAACTGATTTTACAGCTTTACACTGGGGTTTTTTTTTTTTTTTTTTTTTGGTAATCTGTGCATTTGCTCAAATGAAAAATCTTCACTAAAGGAGCCAAGCTTCCTTTCTAGTAAAACGTACACCCAAAGGAAAATTGGAAGAATTGTTGAGTCTTCTTCAATGACAGCAAAAGAGATTGCAGATTTCATCTAGTAATATGGAAAGAAAGAAAGAAAGAAAGAAAGAAAGAAAGAAAGAAAGAAAGAAAGACTAGGAAAAACTTTCATCATCTGACTTTGCTGCTGATACAAAACTTCCTCTAGGTAGCTGGATTGGAAAACCATCCTAGTAGCAAAACTCTGAAAACTGGATGGGCAAGTATCTTCTGGAATGAAAGTGACATATCTATGTCTGAAACTTAAACATATTTATATGGGAGTAAGTCTCACTGTATGTTACGGCACTAAATGCCAAAAAAATGTGAAGATAAAACATAGTATTGAGCTGTGTATATTAAGTATATTAAGAGCAAAACCAGAACTGGCTTCTGTTTGTTTAAATCTACAGCTATCTCAGTGGAGAAGATCCAAAGAAGGTACCTTTTAATAACAACCAGTTTAACTCTACATTGTAGCTATACATTTAGTGTATCCTTAAGCAAATATGGAATAACCTTTGAAGAGAGGACTGAAAGTGAAGGTATCTGCTCGTATGTTCTTCCTAGACAACAACTAAGCCTAAAGATTATCTCAAAAAGAGAAAACCGCATTCTCTTTAGTGCAAGCAATTCTTTGTGCAGTGGTTTAGCTTGGACTGTAGTTTTCAGATTCATACAAATCTCATTTTCAGGTTTGCCATTAAAAATGTTCCACACACATCTATTATTACTTCAGTTGTCTGTTCTCTCTCTTCTGTACATTTGCTCTTGAAGGACTCATTTGTAAAGGGATCTCTTCAACCGGACTATGCCTGTGATATCCGGCACAAGTGTGAAACTGAATCCCAACCCTCTTAACAGTTGGCCATTCCTGAGAACCATGCTTATCATTCGGGTTAAAAAAAAAAGAACAGCAACAGAACTGGCACCAGAATTTCGTTCCCAGCCCTAAACTCAGTTTTAACATTGGTCCCCCCCCCCAGGTCCAGTATAAATGACTAGAGAGGGGAATGATGTTAAACCAGTCAGGTCTAAGGGGAGTAGAAAGCAGCAACACTGGAAGAGTGGGAAACTGAATGGTCTCGCCTGAAGGCAGCAGGGAAGAGAGCAGTTGCCCAAGGACCACACCATTAATAAATATGTGTAAAAAGATATCAGTGCACCCTTTAAGCAAAGTAAATTTGGGGTTGGGGTGGGGGAAGATACAGGCAGCCACCCAATCTAAGGGACAGGAACATACTGAGAAGAGAGAAAGAGGCAGGAGTGGGATGCTTTTGTTTGTTCCCCCATTTTTGGTGGCCTTCTAAGCCTGTGGTGGTGTTGCTGCTAAACTGGCTGGCACAAAGAGCCACCAGCACCCTCACTCCAGCCCCAGCCTCTGTTCAGCTAGGCTAGCGGGCCAGAGGGATCTGTTTGAGGGAAATCAACACTGAGCGCATGCGTGAGACATCCTTGGATTGCTTGCTGCTCTTGGGATTGAAGTCGCAGAGTTGAGCCACTTTCTCCCATTCAGTGCCGGTTGTCTCTTCTTTCGACTCCTTTAGGAAGGCTTCCTCCGAGGCTCTGGAGAAGGCAAGTAAGACGCTGTCAGGCCAGAAAAGAAGTGCAAGTATGTTTGCCTCCAGACAAGGTCTGGACTAGCACAAAACATTCACTACGGGTAAACTAACCTATGAGGTATCAAATGAGCCACATTTTTTGCATTCACATGGTGTGCTAAATATAAATTAATTAGACCTGACTTTTATATCACGCAAAAGATTACATTTGGTTGGTTTGTGATTTGGTCTGTTATGTGAATACAGCCATTTAGATCTGTAAAAAAAAAAAAAAGAATTTCCTAGAACTGATTTTCCTTCTTTTAAGGAACATTCTGACTAACAAACTTTGCAACACTGACCACCGTGTAAAGGCATAGATTCTAAGAGTCATATCATCTGGGTGTATAGATATAAAATATGCTACCAGCTAAATGCAGTTTATTAATAGCTATAGTTCAGATCATGGATAATCATGATCACAGACTTGAAAAGTACTCTACGTTTTCTGCTATCTCAACAAGAAAATAAACCAAAAAAAATAAATAAACAAAAGGGAAAACAATAAATATATGTATAAGTAACAACAGAAATGGCCAAGATGTATACCTTATACTTGAAATCAGGGTTAGGAGCAAAAATATGTAAATCCTGAAACAAACTGCATGGACAAACTTGAGACTAGAATGATTATTTAAAAGAAGCACGGCAACTTTTGGAAGGACAGTGGGAGCATACAGTATAGGATTCAAGAACTGTGATATACAGTATTTAAGCAGTGTCTTTTAGATTCTGCAGTATGGGGAACATTCCCAGACTAGTATCTGGCACTGCACGAAAACAAATAGAAAAATAATTGCAATGTAGGCTATGTAAAGGATGCTTATATGACATGCTTTGAAGCACTTATAAATCATCATAAGCCTTATAATTAGTAATAATAGTAATTTAATCAAGTTAAATGCTCCCCCAACTCCCAGTGACTCTTGAGTAGTATACAAATGTTAAAACATTTTAAAAACAATATCGAAAAAACAAAACAAAACAAAGGAACAATGATGGAAGAAAATAAACTCGAGGAGAACAAAAAGGAAAAAGGATATCAGTTGTCTTCTCCAAAGATCTGGGCAAAAAGCCAGGTCTTTAGGTTCTTCAAAATACTAGTAGGTATTCCTTAATAAGAAATCTGTGACATAACATAGTCTTTGCCATTTGCTGCTTCACTTCATAGACTCCTCTTGTCACTCCTCTACAGCAGGGGTCCCCAACCACCGGTCCGCGGACCGGTACCAGTCCGTGGAACAAGTCCTACCGGGCCGCTGGTTTGCTGGGCGCCGCCATCTTTTTTTGATGAAAAAGTGCTTCCGGTGAGCTTTCTACCCGGAAAAGCTCACCGGAAGCACTTTTTCATCAAAAAAAGATGGCGGCGCCCAGCTGATGCCGGTACCGGGCCGCGGCATAAAAAAGGTTGGGGATCACTGCTCTACAGTATATGTAAGCTTTTATATTTCCAACTGCTTCATCAATTTATGCCTTATCTTTTTGCTGTGCCAGCAAGAAAACTGTTAATTTAGAAATAGAAACAGAAGAGACCCTTCTCCTTTATCTGCTTAACCAAAAATAATACATATAAATTTATCCTAACCATGAATGATAGGAAGTGGAGAGTAAATAATATTAAAGCAAGATCGGGAGTTGGGAAACTACATAATTACAATGATTATTCTCACACCACAGTGAATTATGAGAAGAACAAACTGAGGCAATTCTGGGCCTGTTTTTGCTCTTATGAAACATCTAGGCAAAAAGCACACACTGTAGCTTCGCGTGCGTGGTCCCATTCAGGAAAGTAACCCCCCACCTCCTGAAAAATGAGCAAGAGAGACATACACATAGCCAATCACATCTGCATCTGGCTGCTGGTAAAAGGCTTTGTCAGCAATCCTGTGGCAAGGTCCAGTAACAGGAGAAAGGGCAGAGTAGAATGGAAGCAAAGAGTTAAAGAGAGAAACACAGATTAGTAACACCCTTAAATTGGGAGAGGCAGAACTAGATGCTACTTGAAAGCATCAGCAGCTCAGTGAGTTAGAGGTTCATTAATCAAATGTATAGGAAACAAAATGAGAACATAGACGTAAATGCTTATCATAATGCCCCCACTGTGCAGAGACAGCTCGATTCTGAGAACTAGAATGAACCCTCCCAAGGTTACCTTATTTACATTCAGCTAAAATAACCAATGAACGTTTAATTCAGTTAACTAGTTGTTAATTCACAACTGAGTTACAATTTACATCCAATAGGATTCCCTTTCATTGTTGCAGATCCAGATATAAACAAGTAGTTAAGAAACTTTTTTCCTAGCTGTACCTGTTATTGGCCTGGTTCCTCTCCATTTGTTCATTCTGCCTTATGTTCCATTCCTCCAAGTCTTTCTTAGCCTTTTCGCGCCATTCCTGTTCTAATACCTTAGAAGCAGCATCTAAAACCAAGAAAAACCTATCATGAAAGATACAAAGGACATTCCTAAGTGTCTTAGCAAGTTAACTAGCCTAAATCCAACCTGGCATGATCTAGATGTATAGAATGACATCTCCATCATCCCCAGCAAAAGTGAGGTACCCTGGATAGATGCTGTCATAAAGAACTGCAAGTCATATCTCAGTTTAAGAGGAAGATATCAGTTATTTATTGAAAGAGAGATTGCTAGAAGCTATGACTGGCAAGGATAAAGGTATAGCCTAACATCTACGTGGAATTTATAGAACAAAAACCACTACACGAGTTAGTAAGGAGAGAAAAATGCTTATTAGCTAATCATCATACTGATGTATTTATTCAGCTGATGCTAGAACTAAAACTTGAAATAATATATCTTATTATTTCTTATTCCACAATATTGTTTTTATTTCTCTTCCCTCTTCCTGATATACTTATATTCATTCTCTACTCTGCTAATCTGGGAGCCCTTTTCAATTCTGCTGCCCAGTTTATTACAAAGAAGGAGATAAAAAAAATGCAATAAAGCTGGTAAGGAGGGATAGCACAACTTAGAAAAAGTAAAAAGAGCACACTGCACTTTGTTTAATTATCCAAGGCTCTTATTATCTCTTCTCCAAAAACTTATCACCTTTTTTTCCCCTAGGTTTCAACACCAGACTCCAGCTGTTGATAGAAACCCAGAAGAGCACCTGCAATAATACTCTCCCATGCTCTTCCCTCTATCTTATCAAATGGCAATGTCCTTGAAAAAGAGTCTCGGTTCTTTCTTTCTCAGCTTTGTCTGGTCACAGGGAAAAGAATGTTTTCAAGCCTCTAGTTGGCAGTGTTATAAAGTTTCTTTGCTCTCACTTTCCCCCTCCTTTTCCGAGCAGAATATAATGAGAGTTAATAAAAAGAAAAAAAAGGATATATTTTTTTTAAAAAAAGAATTAATTAAAGGGAGCCTCTAGCCTAAAATATTACAAAGTCATAAAGAAAAAAAAAAGATAAATAGATATGAATGAAAAAAACCAGTCCAGTTTCAAAATATAAGATCGTATGTAAAAAATCCAGCAATGAGAAAAAAAACCCAAAACATTACTTTGGCACTCCTGTTTAAAATCGCCGCTTAATCACTTCTGTCAAAACTTTTACAGATTCTTTCTTTCTCTTAGGGTGTCCTTTCAAATCTTAGAGTTAAAAAAAAGTTCTCACCAAACCGGCACACTCTCTCTTTCTGTTTTTCTTCCATTTTGGAGCTGTCCCAACTTCAGCAGCTTTAATGGCTGCCTCTTCGCTGCTGGCAAGAAGAGCTTCTCCTGGATCTACCAGGGACTTTGCGGTGTCCCTGGGATCGTCAGGATGCGCTTTTCACTTTCACCGTCTCTTCGGGACGGTTTAGGTCCAAATGGATCATCCAGGAGCAAAGATATCGGCAGCGATCTCAGACCTCCAAGATCGCATACCGTATCGTCACGACGCCAGCTCCGCCCTCTCCCTCTGCTGCCCAGTTTATATTTTCTTTTTGTATGAAGAACCCTTTTCTAAACAAATCCCAGAAGCATTTTTTGCATCATTTAAGAAAATTTTTCTGCAGGTTCTCTTCTCCATCATCTTGTCTCCTGCTATATAAAAATTCTCCTTATACATGCAATTCCCATAGGCAATACAATTTTTAAAATATAATTTATATGAGTATATAGCTATATTTGAACTCCAGCTCAACTCCTGAGCAAATGTTTTTATCCCTACCCAGCTCCTGCAGTCTCTTTTTCTGTTCCTCTCGCCATTTGCGAATGCTCTCGGGCTCCTGTGTCAATCGGTCAGCTTTGGCAATGGCTGCATAGGTATCTGTAGGTCCATTAGATTCCTTGGGACAAAAGAAACCATGGGTGAATTATTGGTCTTCCCCAACAAGGACTGGTTAAGAAACAGAACATAGGAGTCTCCAATCCTGCCAAAAAGTCTTATATAAGATTGTAGGCAAATCCTTATCCTAGCTGATTGGGGGCTTATTTAAGCATAATCTAGTATTCCCTCCAAAAAAGATTAATTAAAAGAATGAAATTTAGAAAACTGAAATTATGAGGACAGTCTGAAGGCTCCCTCATGCAGAAACTAGCACAACTAGCTGCAGTCTTATGAAAGCAGATGCTTTTCAGAGTTACATATTCAAGCTGACAAATGAGTATCTTCATCAGCCATGTACCTGACCTCTCTTAATCAACTTGCCTTGTCATTCACGGCCAACATGATTTTCATATCTGTGCTTCAGATGAATTCCTGAAATTCTAAGGGGTGATAGCTGTAAGTCAGCCGTTGTGATACAATTCTTATGATGTCACAATCTTTAAAGGGCCAATGTCCTGCTGCAATCTTCTCTGACCAGAACTAGGTGTTGATTTCAGTTGAGTTTTAAAACTGCCATTTGTGTCAACTGTTGTCATGGCAAGAACCATTTTCACAATCTCAGGCTGAAATTACAAGGGAAATGCTAAAGGTGGTCATCTTCATGTAAAGGATAGTAAAGGTAGCAATTAAATAAACCAAAATCAAAATTAGAGGAACCCCTCAGTACTGATTCTGTTTATAGACAATAATTTTTAAAATGTTGGGTCCAGCATCAGGTTCCTATAGTTATTTCTAGAAACCTGTGCTGTAGCTTGTTTTTACATAAACAAAATGATCCTGTGAACAAACTTTCCAACTTATCTAGAATCATCCAAAAGGCTGGCTTGTTTTCTTCTGTACCTCTTATTGCGCTCTCCAATATAAAGGAGTAACTGAGATTTATACAGTACAGGCAGGAATGATGATTCTGGTTCTACTACTTCAGGTTGGGCTAGATTAGGTCCACCTACAGCTTCAAGTTGGACTAGGTCGTTTACAATAATAAATTGTCATCTGGAATTGCCTTCTCTAGAGGTGAGTAGAAGAAAATGAGTGGGAAGTAGATTTCTCAGTCCAAAAAAGGAACCTCTGAGGTATAGGGTTGTTTAAGAGATGCGAAGAAGAGAAAAAGAAAGGGGCATGTGCACTTAGAAAACTCTGTTTCTATAATACTGCTGCTTATAGTGTTGAAACATCCCAATTCAAACCTCAGCAAGCTAAATTGTCTATATTTTTTTCTTCTGTTGAATCATGTCCAATTCTTGGAAACTTCCAGGACATATCACTGCACTTTTCTCGGCAAGGTTTTTCAGAAGTGGTCTATTGTTGCCAATATAATTACATAAATCAAACTATAATTATGTGACTCTAAATCACACCCAAAAGCAGCCAACGGTTCCAGTAATAGCCACTGCTTTTCCCACTGATCTCAGCAAACAAGAGGCTGTCATATGCTGTGGAATGCTATCCCATGAACAGTTATGCCTCTGGTCCTACTTAGTAGCCCTTTTAAATGAGTTCCTATATACACATTGAGCTACAAGTGCAGAATAATACAGAAAAGTGAGAAAGATAAAGGATTTTGCTTGGGGGAAAAATGAAAAGTGTATTGTATAATTCTACTAGCATGATAGGATTCCTCTACAATGTAAAAAAGCACAAAGTTGCTATTTGATAATTATTATCTTGGTATGCAGATTACCAGAGCATTGCCTCAAAGAAACTATTGTCTTTTTCAAATATCTACATTGTTCCAAGATAGAAGGAAAAAGTAGATAAAAACTACATAGAAAAATGCTTTCTGGGTGAATGTTGGAATTAATAAAATAAGAATATACCAGCAATTTTCAGGTCAACATTCTTTCATCCAAAATAAAGAAACAATGCCAGCTTGTTTATATTTGTGAAGGACTTGATATAACTGAAGCAGAACTATTGCATTGAAATTTTCAAAACTAATTTTTGTATCCAATGGAGAGTAATGTAGCGATTCAATTTACTGGTAGTACGACAAAATTAAAATGGATTTAGCGCTAAATAAACATACGCTAAATATACATGGACTGATTCTGAATCCCTCAGTACAAACAAACAGAAGGAAAAAGGAACAATGCCTTTTTTGGCTTTTGGATCTGGTAGAATGTTACTGTCTTTTCCAATCTAGCATCTTCCAGACCAGTTAGACTTTTTAAAAAAAACTATTTCACCGTATCTGTTGAAAATTAAGATAGCAGAAGTCTGACTCGCCTAGAAGGTATAAAAAAGCTATCCATATCAATGCTGTCCTTTCTATACTTCCATACCATGTCTATGCTTAATTGGATATTCAACCTTACAGCAATCTGTCTCTAAGTCATTCTCTTCTTACAGTCATAATTATCTCCCTCAATAATTTCAGTGCCTTCAAATGGCTTCCGGTTGGTTTTAAAAGATATATTTACAAGCTCTTATTGTAGATGATGGATTGGAACATGGATAAGCACCATTTTTGTGGCTTTAATTTCTATCAGCCCACATCAGCACAACCAATGAAAAGGAACTATGGAAATGGTAGTCCACAATAACTAGGGTAAGAGAATCTGTAGCTCAGAGGTGAACTGTACAGTTCTTGGTGTTCTCTGATCTTAGTTGTTTGCTTGCAGACATTTCATTACCAGTCTAGGTAACATAATCAGAATGAGTGAGTGTGGGACTGATTTCCTGTTTAAACGCAGTAATATATAAGAGAATTCTATTATGAACAATTTCAGTCAAAAAATGAAGAAAGCTTACTAGCACTGCACTTTCCCCTTTTCTTTGGGTGACCAGCAAAAAAAGCCAAATGCCCCAGGTAAGTATTCTTAAAGAATTATCTCTTAGGTTTCACAACATCTACTCTTCTGTACATTACATCAACTTATGAATGTTGATATATGATTCAGAGCCCCACTCAGTTCAGACTCTCACCTGAAACACATCACCGTTCACAGTAGTTCCTCCTGTGTTTTCAAAATTAACTGCAACAAAGGGAAAATATTAAAGTATTATTCAATACTACCGTATGAGTATAAGAGAAAACATTCAGGCATCAGCTACCTGCAAAGTTTAACCTGAAAAAAAACAGGCCAGCACCAGACATTATTTTGAAAAGCACCTTCTTGTTTGGCTAGGTAGTGGTGTAGGATATTTAATTAAAGAATAGAAACTTGTAAAAGGTAATATGGGTCTCCAATAGAGCTGAGGTCAAAAATCTGGGACAGTTTTAAAAGAAGAGAAACAATTTGTTAAAGGAAAAAATAACCTGCAAGGTGAGACTTTTGGTATCTTCATAGTTGTAGCCATGTAATATTTTTGGTGGCAATGTAGTTGTGGTTTTTGTTGCCTTTTTCTGAGTTATTTTCAGACTTTCAAGTATATATCAAAAGAATGAATATATTTGTACAAACACACTAAGCCAAAGTTATTTACCATTTTGGTTACAATTATAGTTATCTTTATACATTGGCTGGTTATTCAACACTTCCGATTTGTTAGTTTTTCATGCTGGAATAAAAGTATAATGGCCCAATTAGGATTAAGGCTATTGAGTTTAGGGCAGACTCCCTGCCATATTTATGTCTTCATTTCACTTCTATCCATACCTGTTGTGGCTCAAAAATGAGATGAGAGACAGCAGAAATGCTGCATATGGCTTATGCAATAAGCCACTTAAAATTATACATCCGAAGTGGTATAGAGGCATTTGGAATAAATTAATAAATATTATAGCCATCCATCTCTATATCTAAAAACCAGAATGGAAAGTTAGCCATATAAAAGATGAATAAATATATCAGAAATCATGAATACAAATTGTGATTAAAGCACTTTAGCTATAACTTCAGGGTGTAGACATCATTCTTGACAAATTAAAAATGGTTCATCTGCAGTTTAGTACTCTGGGGTTATTGGTTTGTAAAATTCACCAAATATATCTCTGTATATAAAATTGTTATTGTCTGTGCATTTAATAGTCCATACTTTATTTTACAATTGTATTAAATAAGCAGTAGTGATTTGGTTCAATATAATCCTGTCATAAATAATAATTTATATACCCTAATAGCTGGATTCATGCACTGGATATTCTATTTTGCACTCATCCATTTTCTCACACAGACGTTTTTCTATTGGGATCATAAAATGATAAAGGGGTAGATAGTGACATATTATACTGTATAGCTCATTAGAACAATTTACTGCCCTCTAGTTATTTTGGATAAAAATGCCCATAATCCATACCTAAGAAACAGATGTGTAGTCTGATATATTGGAATGAATATTAAACATTTGAAAGTGATCAGGCTCTAGATATAATTAATCTATTCTTGGATTGTAGTGGAAGAAAATATTTTTAATTTTAAAAGCACAGAAATTCATCCTACCTGATGCTGGGAAATTATACAGATTAACCATTGCCACATGCTATAAGGGTTCTTGAGCTTACTTTAAATTTCCAGCATTCAAGTGATTTTTTTTTAATATGTGACATTTGGTACCTATGAAATAATTTTATTTCCAAAGCGCCATTTTACCAGACTAGGATTTATATATTACACTAAACTACATTGTAAATGACATTTTATTGGACATAACAGTATAATAGTTATGGGGTTTGGATAGAATTTAACCCATAAATCATAGAATATAAAGTACAGGAATTTGATTCACATGCTGCAAAAAGCCATAAAACCACACTATTGCTTAGCTTTATTTTTTTACTATATCAGTCATGCATCCTGCCTTTTTTTTTAAAAAAAGATTTGTTTGTTTGTTTATCTGAATTTAAGAGCTACTCAGCTCAAATGAATTCCTAGCATCCTGGAACACTTTTAAAGCCTTTTCTCACTTTATCTTATTGATTAAAAAAGCCAGTTTGGTCTAGTAATTAAATCATTAGGATAGAAACCAGGAAACTGAATTCTGACCCAGCCCTGGGCATGAAAGCTGGCTGGGTGACTTTGAGCCAGTCATTCTCTCTCAGCCTGTGATTTTTGGGCTTGGTCAGCATGCCAGTTGGACAATTTCTATCACAATTAATGGATCAACACTTGACTGATCTAAAAAAAGCGGACCGTGCACTTCCAGGGGAAAATGCTAGCAAATAAAGACTGTCACAGAGAAAAATATAGATTTTAATATAGATGTACACCTGGCTGTAATATTGGACTAAATAATATCAAGCAATCCAGAGGAGAAGATTGATAAACATCAGTCACTGAATATGGCCTGGATACGGCCATCAGATATGGGTTGTAAAAAATTCTGGCTAGCCAATAGACAGCAAAGAGATAAAGAAATCTCTTACATCCAGTCTGGGTTTTGGCAGACAAAAGTCTAATATACGAACGATAGTACCCTTAGGTCTGCACTGTATGGTAGTAAGAAATCCTTATCAACAGTTTAAACACTTCCTGGAATTTGGGGCTCCTTTCCTGCATCTGTTTGAAAGGACAAGAAATATGAAGTATGAAAACGGGAGCTGGAGCTAAAGAATGTTTTTCTTGTATAGAATAAAACAAGTTGCATCCTAGCAGTAAGTAGCAAATATAACAATTTAAAGAAAAAGCTATATACCACCTCCCACTTATTGGGGAGGTCCAAAGTCTCTAACGTGAAACCCCGACAAAACTATATGCTCTCCACTCTGGAAATGTAAATGAACAAGAAAAAAACCAAAGGTGTATGTCCATAGCATCAATACAGCTTAAACTTCTTGCTGGAGAACCAGATATGTTTCATGACTGCTGCCATTGGAGAAGCAAGAACAGACCTGTTTACTTGCTCTGAATCTGCACTTCCAGTAGCACTAGGGGATACAGAAATTAACTAGTACAGCTTCGTTTTGGCAATGCACAGAAAAGACTGCCTGGTAAACTTCCAGGTGTCCCAAATAGTAGGAAAGTATGACAGTTTTAAAACAGAGCTTTAGATGAATTCAGCTATAAATGAAAATAGCATTTGGGGTGTGTGAAACATTTCTGTCATTTGCAGATTCTTTTTCTTTTCCCTGATTTCACCCACATTTTGAATATTGGACTACACCCAGATCTGGTCTGGCAACCTTTGCTAGGCCTCCTCCCAAAGCTAAACAAGAAAGTCAGAATGACTATGATACATCAGCTGCTAACTGTCATCTCTTCCTTCTGCAGCCTCTCTTCCCCAGCCCAGTGCTTGGGCCAAATGCCATCTGTTCTTGTAGCCAAAAAAAAAAAGCATTACTCACAAAAACAGGGCTCCTGGTGGATCTTGCAGTAGTCTTAGTGGCTCTTGCAAGGCCTACATTACAGACAAGACTTGTTTCTCTTTCCTTTTGTGGTTATCTAAGGCTGCACTGAAGAGTCAAAGGTGTTTGCCTCTAAGGAGAGACTCAACCCACAGCTGGTCCCTGACACAGAGCTGATTCCAAAGAGGCAAAGGGTGAAAAATCAACTAGTTCCCCAGAGCTGAGATTCAGAGTAATCTCATATATATGCCTGGTATGCTCTTTGTGCTAAGCCATAGTTAGTTCAAACAGCTCACTGAAGAGCCCCAGTTGCTTTTACATGAAGCCAACACAAAATCAGGTGACCAAGTGGCTTAATACAAGGCATAAACCCAGTCACGGATTTATTATGCAGCCATAGAAGAGTGACTATTGTGGAGTCTCAGAACTTTACATCCTGCCTTTAAATCAGAGTAGCGCATACAATGTCATTTCCTCTTATTTCTTCTCACAACAACCCTCTGAGGTTGACTGAGCGGAGGAGGAGCGTGAGTCCGGCCACAACATCCTTTTCGCAACTTAAGAACAAAAGGGGCCTTCTCGAAAGAACTGGCAAGAATGCACCATGGCCCCGTTTGGAAAGATATACTTAAGACTACAACTCCCATCACCGCTGGACTTGGTGGCTTGGACGCGGCCTCTCAACACGCGACGCCTCCGTTTTTGCTGGCTTTCTCTGGCAGGCTGAGGCTAGGCAGCTACCGAGATGGCTGATGGCCGCAGCTTCTTCGGGACAGATCCCGTTTCCCCGGCATGCTGCTGCCCCCCTCGGTCCCGCGGCGCCGTCCCTGGGGCAGGCCACGCGTGGGTCCCCTCGGTGTAGGAGCCCCCCTGCCTCATCCCGTCATCCCCGCGCGCTTACCCCGAGGCTCCCCGGCGGCTTCCTGGCTTCCCCTGGCGGCTCCTTCGGCGCAGCTGATGCCCTCGTCGTTCTCGATCCCCGCAATCTCGTTCTCCTGCTGAGCCAGGAAAGCAGCGGCCGGGTCCTCTTCGGCGGCCTCGGCTGCTCCGCTTTCCGAGGAGGAGAAGAAGCCGAAGTCATCCGCCATGACGGCCGTTTCCCGAAGCTCTCGAGGCCGCCTTTCTCCGGGGTGGGCACGACGAGCAGCGTCCGCAACCCTCGGGGCGGCGGGGAGAGGAGAGAAGCTCAGGGAGCCGGCCAAGCCAAACAGTGGGCGACCAGGAACCGCCGGCTCAGCTGTCACTGCGGCGCCTGCGGGAGGAGACTGACGCGGCGAAAGGAGGTGACCTCACCCGCCGAGCTGCTAGCGCGTTCCGGAGCCATTAGAGGGAAGCAGCGGCCGCCCTGGATTTCGCTCAGCGGCAGCAGCTCGGAAGGCAGAGTAGTTCCGCTCCCGGGAGCTGCGGCGTGGGAGGATGAACGCCCAACCTATTGTTGGGGATAATGTCGCATCCCAAAATTCAACGGCGTCGTGATTGCCCTCAGAAGAGGTGCTCTCTTTGCTTTGGTGATGCCAAGCCAGCAAATGAAGTAGCAATGTGCCATCTTTTTAAAGTCAGCCCCTTGAAAAGTTCTAGTTCTCGACGTACAACAGTTCATTTAATGACCGAAGATACAGCGGCACCGAAAATCTTGACTTATGACCGTTTTTCACACTTATAACCATTGCAGCAATCCCAGTGAAAATTCAGATGCTTGACAACTGACACATTTATGATGGTTGCAGTGTTCAGGAGTCATTTTTGCAACCTTTTGACAAGCAATGGGGAAACCAGATTCATTTAACCGGGTCACTAAACCGGGTCACTAATTTAACAACCAGTGGTTCACTTAACAAATGTAACAAGAAAAGTCATAAAAGGGGACAAATTCACAACAAATTTTTCATTTAACAACATAAACATTGGGCTCACTTGTGATCGTAAGTTGAGGATTACCTGTACTTGCTTCCTTGTCTTGTCTCTTCTCCCCTTGCATCTAAACACATTCAGTGATGACCTTTTTTTTAAATGTTCCCATAACGCTGCCTTCATTCAGCCCCGAACCTAAAAATAAGCCAGCTTAAGTCATAGCTGTACTACAGGTAGTCCTTGAGTTTTGACTACAATTGGGCCCAACATTTCTAATGTTAAGTGAGACATGTTAAGTGAGTTTTGCCCCATGTTACAACTTTTCTTGCCTCCGTTGTTAAGTGAATCACTGCAGTAGATAAGTTAGTAACCCGGTTGCTAAATCAATCTGGCTTCCCCATTGACTTTTTGCTTGTCAGAAGGTCACAAAAAGATGAATACATGACCTTGGGACACAGCAATGGTCATAAGTATGAACCAGTTGCCAATCATCTGAATTTTGATCACATGATCATGGGGATGCCTCAAAGGTTGTAACTGTAAAAAATGTTCATAAGTCACTTTATTCGTTGCCATTGTAACTTTGAATGGTCTCTAAATGAACTGTTGTAAGTTGAGGACTACCTGTACTCTATGTTAAAATAATGTTTTCCCCCTTAGCTAATGACATCCAATAGCACCCACGTCTGACCAAATCAGGTAAACAATGCAGGTGGGGGTGGGATCAAAGCGATATTTAGTGGTCAAGCACAGTCTTACTTGGATCTGATCAGCTTCATCATTATCTCTCTAGAGCAAGGGTGTCAAACTGGCGGCCCGCGGGCCGGATGCGTCATACCCAGGCCACGCCCACCCCAGCTCTGCAAAGAGGAAGAACATCGCAAAACATCATGTGATGATAATGTGATGCAGCGAGTTTGATACCCGTGCTATATAGAGCTGAATATAGTCAAAACTGTGCAACAGCGTTAGGTTGCAGTGGATGTTTTAAGACTATGCTCCTCGTCAGTTTAGCGCAAGGCTGAAATAGTGAAACAGACTATTTCATCCCGTCTCATCATCATTGGATCAGCACACATAGGAATCCAGAAGTTGGCATTTGTGGTCTTTGGAAAGCAGAGGAAAGATAGAGAAATTAAAAATAGAGGGACTGCTTATGATTGAACTCCAATTTATTATTTTTTTTTAAAAAAAAATATTCAGCTTGGGTTAAAATTGGATGTCACAGCTATGGCACAGGGAAATGACAAGGTGCTGCAGCCAAAGGTGTCCCAATCCTACTACAGTGCCATGACCGATTGATGTTTTTCCCATCAAGCCAATGTGCAAAAGAGGTAGGGGACAGCAGAGTTGGCAGAATCAATTTTATCAGGAGCTACACATGAAAAATCAAGACAGACCATTCACTGAGTCAGTGATGTTGACTCTGGTGTCGAGATATGAAAGGGATCACCAATGCAAGCAAGATATTTCATGCTAGTATAGTCTCCTGCTTGGTTGGCTATTATTTTACCTAAACAGACAGGAAAGGCTAAGAATGAGAATGAATGTGCCAGTTTATAACAGTACTGTATATTCTCACAGATAAACCAAAAATTTAGATGCCAAAATACTCCTTCAGAATTGGGTTGGGATTATCCACGAGTATATACAGTGATATTTTTAAAAAATATTTCCCATATATGCTCAGATTTAAGCCCATCCATGGGTAAGCAGGAATTTTTTTTAACCAAAAATTGCAGGTCCAAAGGTGGCACATATTACATGGTATTTTGGTTAAAAATTTGAAGGTCAGCTTATTCACTGATGGGCTTTTCTGCAAGTATGTATGGTATGTGCTAAATCATGCTTTACAAACTTTTAAGCTATTAAAACATGCTTTATAAAATATACTAAATGGGTTCATACAGTACATTATCCCAGAATAGTTTGTGCAAACTATTTACTAATTAATCATAAATGCCTTGGTTTCTGCATTGCTGTCATGCCCCCGGTGGAGGCTGACTCTAAGGGAGAGGAGGAACAGCCGACAAGGAATGGAAGGAAGTGTGTCTCTGGAGGTGGTGGAGGAGGCTGGGGAAGGGCAGAGGCCAGCTGAGCAGTCAGAGGAGGACCCAAGCCCATCCCCTATCCATCCTAGGGCACACAGGGAGGAGAGGATCAGGGAAAAATGTGGTCTACTCGGGAGAAGAGGGCCATGATCCTCTTCATGGGTTGTAGGTGTGAGATCTGCATAAGAGTTTGGACCTAACAAATGCTGGAGACAAACTAGTGTTTTATTCCTAGATGAGGTTTATCTTGGTTGGCGTTCTTCCAATGGACTGTACCTGGTTATCTTCCTGAAGTTTGTAATTATTTATCCTGGTCTGTCGTGGAATTTTATTCAGTGCGGTTTGTTTTTGGTTTTTGCTTCGTTATCTGCTCTTTGAATTTGAATTTCTTTCGTTTGGAATGTTATTTTGAAAATAGTTTAATCTTCAATTGTGAACAATTAAACAGTGAAGCCAAGTTGAAGGCATTAAAGGACCTTTATTTACATTTTGGTGTTTGTTATATTTTTGATACACTCCGGGTCATCACAATTGCATTGACCTACAAACAAGTCTTCTTATGACAAAATATGGTCCCAATGAATACACTATTTAATGAGTATGTTGTTCTCTGTAATGTACCATGAACCTCATTGGTGAAACATACCTATGATTCTACAGAGAATTCTCTTGCATACTTGATATAGTGGAGTTTTGTTCATGAAAGCTTATGACTCAATATATATTTTTAGTTATGAAAACTATTGTCCAACCTAGCTGAACAAAGCTGTGATTCAGCAAGTTGAACCTTAACCTTAACTTAAGAGTCCATAATCAGGGAAATGTGGAACACAGATTAATTATCTCTAGTTAAAAACTCCTGTAGTATTTATTATTACCTTTGTAATTTTGTATATGCTTAGTCTAACACAAATTCTATGAAATTGAAGTAAGTAGGCATCAGATTGCAGCTTTAAAACACATCAGTAGATCATGGGGATTCTATATGTTTAATGATTACTTTTTTTTAAAAAAAGTCACAGTACACTAAATTTAGCAGTTTCAATTTGAGTGAAACTTTTTTTTCCAGTAATGTGCTAGGCCAGGGGTCACCAACCTTTTGGACCTCAGGGACCACCAAACTCATAATTTTAAATCCTGCAGACCAGAGACCCTGGGAAAATCCCAAAAAAGTCTGCAGGAAAATTCCCCACCCTGTTTTCCTACCAATCGATCATTCTTTATTTGGGATTGCAGGATACCGTCTCCAGCTCCGTTCTCAGGGGGAGAGACAGAGAGAGACACACACACAGAGAGACAGAGACAGACTGACTTTTGGCTTCATGCAAAGAAAGCAGCAAAAGCAGCAGAAGTCTTTCTTTCTCTTTCCCAAACTCCGCCAGAAATTAGTCTTTGTGAGACTTGTCACACCGGCACAGCCTCTTGGAGCAGGATGCCTTGCAGGATCCCAAAGACTCATTTCTGGTGGAGTTTGGGGGAGAGAAAGACTTTTGCTGCTTTCCTTGCATGCAGCCAAAAGCATAAGAAGAAAGAAACAGAAGGAAGCAGCCTAGTGGCCAGGCCAGGCATGTAGGGTAAGTGGGGCAAGTTCCCCCCCTCCGCCCTTTCCCCCCTCTCCTCATTACCTCGTGTTGTTCGCAATGCAAGCGATCCAAAAGCCTTGTGTTCCCGTGGGTCATGTGGGCGGCGCAGCCTTGTGTTCCCGTACAGCCTGGATTAATTGCTTTGGGGGGTGCTTTGGGGGTGACATTTATCTGCGGACCACCAAAATTTTATTGTGGACCACCAGTGGTCCCTGGCCCACTGGTTGGCAACCACTGTGCTAGGCTATATTGCCAATAGCCTCCTTCATTCATTTGTTCCTGAAGGTGAAATATGGGATTGAGCCAAAAGCCCCTTTCACAGGGAAAGTAAAACTGTCGACCCACCCATAAAACACTTACAAGGTCATGGAATGCTGATAAGCTTGGAAAAGATACTGAGAGGACAACAGAGCTCTGGGAAACAAAACCAAAGTGACTCCCTAGAAAGAAACTATGTCGTGAAATATTGTCTCTTTGTTCTTTCAAAACTTCAGTCTTTGTAGTCCTGCCTCATTATACTTATCGCTTCACTGATCCCACTAAGTACATTGTATGCTGTATGCAATCAAATGCATACATACATACATGTTTTATTTGCAGTTTTTCCTTTAACAACCAGCATTTTTTGTGGAAAGCACAATGACTGGGTTAACATATTTTTCACACAGTGCTCACAGTAATAATAAAATTACATAGAAAATATTTATCTTCCAACTTCTGATCTTAATGTGCTCATTATAATTATAATATATTATTTTATATATCAATATATATTCTACTATT